AGGCCTTGGCCTAGTGTATGTGTGTGTGTGGCGTTTAGCTCTCTTGGGATTTTAGGATTCCTACACAGTCCCTCGACAATAGCTACACAACACCTAATACATGTACGTCTGTGTGAAATCAACAGAGAAAGTTCTGTCAAAGCTATAATATGCACATAAAGGTACACAACTCTACACACACATATATATGTATGTTTGTATGTATATTTATGTTCAAAAATACCCACATTTGGACACACACATTTCTATATCCTTCGGCATACATACATCTACTTATAGGAAGTATTAAAGGAAATGCATTCACTGATAGAGGCCTGTGAGTGCACACCTACAGTAAAGAATATGGAACACAGACAATCGATTGTGCACACACACATACATGTAAACAGTCGGAGCTTGAATGTGACCTGTGCTTCCCATGTGAATATTAACCCTCAGGGGGACTGATACCTTCCTCAATGTGTACGTGTTTGTGTGTGTTATTTCTGTTATCCTGGGCTCTGTGTTATCATGGGCTCGTCCTCTGTTTAGTGAGGAGAGCAGAGGGCACGTACACATACATGGAGTTTCCTCACAATTGTGGATTAAGCCGGATGAGTGCACAAGGCAGAATAATTGTGGGTTCTGTCAAGGTGTGTGTGTGGTGCAAGCAAGTGACAATGTATGCAATCCGCTATGTGTGCTGGTCTGTATTATGATTTTGAATCTGCTGTAGCACATTTCTGTTTTCAAACTGTAAGACACACATGAAAACGCTGTGTTGGGCTGTTTATTCTGTCAAATTTGTAGGTGGAATTTTATTCAGTATTAAAATGTGTTTTAGTGTGAGAATGATGTCAGACCAGCTCCATGGTGAAATTATAAAAGATGAAAGCTTCATCTTTACCCAGTGAATAGATTTATACTATTAGCTGATTACTTAAAGTGAATTGACCTTGGCATGCAAGGTGCATAGTGTTGGATTGCAGCCAAATATTACCAGCAAAGATGCACAATAATTAAATCAGTATGGAAAACACATCTAGAAATCAATTTCAACATGTCCTGCATTGCAAACAACACACATTTCAGACAAGCTTACCGTGAAACACATTTGTCATTACAATTACATTTTGCTTTCTCTAAAATATGTTGTCTTGATGTCCATACAAATCTGCATTTATCAATAAATTGCAGGAGTAAATACTCGCCCAGAGAACTCCTCGTGCTGCCATGATGGAAAATGAAACGGCCTCTCCAGCTGGAAGAACAAGTGCTGTGTGGGCTCCCTGAAGTGGTGCAACACTGGGTCATTGGAGAGCCACAGCGTGTTTGGGAACAGAACAGTCTGTGTTATTTCAGCACAGCCTGTTGGATGAAGGGCCATTTCACAGGCATTATGGATTAATCTTTGGCAGGATCTCTCCAGGATCAAACAAAATTGGATGTTTAACCTCACGTGTCCTAGAGCTAAGAGTTCTCTTGTGATAAACCAGGATAGAGAGGATTGAATCTGACCCACATTGGGTTAAACATCACATACTTGTAAATATATTTAAACTGAACCCTGAATGAAAAGATGAAAATATAGCGAGTATACACATCCTTCCTCGGGTGATAGTAATCTAACCCCTGAAAAAATTATATCATTATATATAACATTATATCCCCTAAGTCGGGAAAACATTGAGTCTTTATTATTTTAACTAATCTTACACAAACAGAAAAAAAAAGAAAATGATTCAAGACTTTTGAGAAATCCCCTGATAGTGTTCCTGTTCAGGTAAAAAAAATTATTTTTCAAATGTACAGTTGTATTTTTTATATTTGCTACACAGAAACACAGGTTCACAGCTGAAACCTCCCATCACTTCCCTCACTTGTTATAAACTGTTTGTTATATTGGGGAGTGTAGAAATATTACAGAGTTCAGATTGACAGGAGCAGTGATTGACAGGTCTAAATTTAGCAGGCATGGTACAATTTAACATTTCACCTGCAGAAAGAACTGTAAAGCAGGATAGGCCTGGAGATGTGGATATAACAGAATCCCTGTAAACACCATTAATAAAATGCCTAATATGGATTAAATTACATGGCTGTTTTCTTGTATTATCAGACACAAACAAAAACTGATTCTGCTTATCAATGAAAAACATTGAGCTTCACTGAATGCATAGACAGTTTGCTTGATGCAGAAGGAGTTTCACAGTCATCACAGATTAGACTTCAGTAGGATTTTCACAGACAGTAAATCAGATTTTTAACCCTGTGCTCTTAATCCAGACCCAGTGGTCACAGAAGGATATATGGTGACAATCTGGTTCTGATTAAAACTTTATTGTAACTAAAACCCAACTCTGTAACTGCAGTGTAGCACCGTCTCTTGAAACACCTCATCTGCTGTTTGTTTAAACTTTTTTTTCTCCACATTATTCATTGGCCTTTTGGCATAAGTACAGGCATTGTGTGACAGAAATAACACACAGTACTGATCAATAATACATCTCTCACAGAGTAATTTACATTTTGAAAGGTCTATAAACAGTAAAAGACGTGCATTCTGATTTATGATGGGTTAACACATTTCCATCAGCTATAAATATAAAACATGTGCAATATAAATACACTGGGGGGGAAATGAAATCCTCTACTCAAATATATGCTCTTCTGATTTTTGAGTTGCACTTAAATAATGTAAATTCAAGGAGAGAAACAATGAGCTTTACATTGATTATATGACTATATTTTCAGAATGTTTTTGGAAGTATTATATCATTGTAAATGCTCTGTAGTTTGGGTACTCTTTTTCACAGATAAAAAGGCGGTTATTCCTTCTTTAATGTAGAATGTACATGTATTTTACAAGAGAGTGAGCAGGTGAACTAGTTTAAGGATTACCATCTAGCACAAACACCATCATTCCTGCTCAGAGATACAGTTTGCATGATAATATGTTTTAATGTATTTTATCCTTATTCTCCTCCTTATTTATCCTCATTTTTTACATCAGTACCCACAACCACAGTCTTCAGTGTTTGATATTAAGAATATATTCTGGAGAATTTGGAGGCTAAATGTCTTTCCTTAAGGACATCAGTTAGCATTGAGAGGAGGTCTTATTTAACTGATTCCTTCAGCCATATTTTAAATACAACAAACTTCTCTTCACCAGCTTGTCACCTAACCATTACGCTGCCTTTGCACTGATATGTGTTTTGGAATATAATCAAAATATCTGAAACCAAGAATGTTATGCCATCCTGTTGAGTCCTTATTTCCTTGGATCCTTGAAGTCACTGTGCCATGATGTCGTACCTATTTGGTGATATCAGCATGTTCCTGTGAAATCACGTGACTACATGAACCACGCCATTTGATTTCACAAATCATGGTTATATATTAAACTGACTGACAGCAGTAATTCTCATTGTGGTTTGAAAGGCATTTAAAAATAAATCAATTATGCTCCGTTACTGTAATTTTCCATGTTGCAATCTGATGACACAGGGTGGACTGACACATTGTGTATACTGGCTGTGTTGATATAATTCCTGTATATCCTACCCAGGGACTGCTGCATTGACTGTTTTGAATTAGAGTTTGGCTTTCGATAACCTATTCCACCCACATACTGTAAACAACAGGGAATGAAATAGCCTGTAGGCAGATGACAAGAGAGGATTTTACCTTTGTTTGCCTGTGACATTGTTAGCTTTAGAATGAAGGGACAGTGTGAAGGTGGCACATTACCTGAATACCTTTTATAACACAAAGATTAAGGGACCAAACACTGACTAGAGGACTTGTTATGCATATTTAAATTTCCTATGCACTAACTTACCTATTATTGATTCAAATAGAAAGTCATCTGAAAATTACTAGCCAAAACGGTGTGATCTTAGAATAAAGGGAAGATCACACTATTCACTTAAAGGACATCGGCTATGCCCATAGATCACTAATAATTTTAATGACTGAAACTGCTTTCTAATGGAATCAGGAAATATGATTAATCTAGTTCTACAATATTTGGAAGAAATAATCCTTTTAGCAATGCAAGCATTGTTTGAACAATTAAGTCTACAATACAACTGCCTGATCTCAGATTTTCTCCCACCTTAGCTATGAAAACAGTAGCAATTAATACAATACAATACTATCCCTGCCTCACAAATTACTTTCTTTATCACTTTCAACACAAGTAAACAAGGTGCTCCAACCTGCTGAGTGACTTTTTCTTCATTGCCTGTAGGACTTATATCACAGTGTTGTTAAGGAAGCTTATAGCCAGTGAAATGTTTGCTGAACTTACACATGTAGGCTACAATAAAGGTTTGAAGGGCCATCTGTGTAACTAATAACTGATTGCCAGTATAATAAAACAATTCTATCCCATTGTTGAGTTGTTGTTGTTGTTTGCCATGTTTATTATTGTTTTAATCTTAATCATTAATTGACCTTTGGCATCACCCAGGTTTTGAGTTGCAAATAAATATATGGTAGCTCAAATGAAAATCTGATTTAGTCTCTTGTTAATTTCCATTACTGTGTGTGTTTATTACTGATAATGTGGACTACTTTAATGTTTTATCTGAGAGGTTATTTGTTTGTTTGGTGATAGGAGTGATGCTTTTTGCATTTAAAGTCTCCCTGTCTAATCCTGCATAGGTGAAGATAATTATCAGTTTTTTTTTCACTATCCAAGAGGTTTAACTTGGGGAAAGGAATCGGATTTCCCTTTTCTAGTCCGCCGGAACTTCATTCAATTGTGTATTCATACTCATGCTGTAGACATTGATTTTGGCTGGCTTTTCTTCACTAAATCAACTAAAACTCACAACCGATGTATGTAGTCATTATGGTAGATACATATATGTGAAGACGCGTAAGAGTGAGACGAATTAAAGATTTATCTGATTTTAGTGTCTATTTGTTTGGAGCGCACGGCAGGATATATGACCACTGGAGGTGTTCTCCGGTCTATATAAAAGCGCCGCCATCTTACATTTTTCAGTCTCTACTGTTCCGGCCGAGTTGCTGCAGACCGACTGCGGAGGGAGTGGACGAGGGCTCCCCGCTGACGCTCCTCCTCACATTTTTCCTCGACTTTTTCCATTGCTAAGTGGTCTTTTACTCTACAGGATCCGAGTGGACGGACTTTCTGTGTTGACAAGGGTAGGCCTCAACATTCAAACTATCGGCTCCAATCAGTTTCTCCCTCTTTTCTTGTCGGGCTCTCCCTGAATGCCAGCAGGGACGGAGACGGTGGTTGTGTGCGGGCCGGCCGGGGATGCTGCTGCTGCTGCTGCTGGCTGGTGCCTGCTAGCTACTTGACGCCACCGCTTGCTTTCACCGTGGCACATATTGTAGGGATACCTGCCAGCCACCCGCCTAACCGGCGAACATACCGTGTTTTACAGACCACCCACGTTATGTCTATTGAGTCTTATCATAGCGCGGGGTGTGGCTGTTGTGTGACTATAGACCCCGTAGTTAGATGTATCCAATGGATGCCATTGCGGCCCTTTCTATTTTATTCGGAACAATGTTTTCAACGGGCTTTGCGGGTAACCGCCAACGTCCTCCGCCGTTTGACAGGCTTAAACGTTAGCGGCACGCGTTAGTTAACCGTTCAGCGGACGGTTAGTTATACGTTAGCGTCAAACTAACTAACCAGCTGGCAACCTCGCGCTGCTGGCCACATTCCCTCCCTATTCTGACCTCCACGTTTGCCTCCGGCTTGAGTTTCGCCTTCTGCTCCCGCCTTTGTTTTTGCACGCTGGTCTTTAAGGTCAATCAGACACAACCAATACGGGGAGAAGATGACCCGCGGTGGTGAAGCCCGGTATACCCGGGGGCCATGTTGTCGCAGCTCTACGTGAGACACTAAGTTTAAGCAGGCGTTGAAATTAACGGTGGCCAGGTCACAAAGCATGGTGCGGCAGGCTAACTGACGTTCAACGGCAAAGCCTTAGTTCTGGGACACCGTAAAACCTGAAAAACCGCTGGAACAGTTTAAATGCCTTAAATGTAGCTTCTTTGGCTAAGAGCATCGCTCTAGGCTACACTCATCATTTTATGGTTATATTTAAGTTTATTTTGGGTCAAAGGGCCCGTTGAGAGTGTGGTTTCCCTCCCCGTCCTTTGTAAACAAAGC